GGAAAAAATGGAAACAAAGTCTTTGTAACTTGGGAGGAGTGGAGGGGTTGAAGGGAGGGCAGGGGAATGGAGAAAAATAAGAACCAAGATATGTCATGTAAAGGTGCATATTAATGATGAATATCATTATATTGTATATCTAAAATGTACCAATAAATTTAATGAATTAAAAAAATGACAACAATTCAAAATCCAAACAAAAAAATGTTAAGGGAGGATACAAACGTCAATGCAAACTCATCACCTCCCCAGGAAAGGTAGCTTACAGCACACTCCTTATATTGAAAAGAACTGTGTATCTCTTGCAGATGATTTGGGGCTTGATATGATGGATCACAGTACTCTGGGACTGCTGAGACTGCATTCAGAGAGAAGCTAAGGGAACCAACTGAAGGTCAGTGGGAGAAGCCCAAGCTCTCACTGCAGTCACCACGACAGAATTCTAACCCAAAGGATCTTGCATTGGCTCTTCTTAAATACTAGCTCTCCATTAAGATAGAAAACAAGCAGCAGTTTCAAAGATGAGCCCTAAATGGATTAAGCCAAAGAATCTAACAGCAATTCAATTTCTTAAAGTTAATGCTGTTTAGAGAATAAGCAGTACAATTATCCCAAAGAATTTTTTAAATGGTGTGATAGCACCTGGGAATTCTGTGCTCTGAATCGCTTAATTGAACAAACATCAGCTGTCCTCATCCATTTATCCTGTTTCACTACTAATACATTACAAGGGCAGACCTTCCAAATTATAGTCACTGATTGGTGATTGAACTGCTTCTCACCCGTGGAACTTTATGTAGCATGAACTCGGGCAGATAGCTGCCTGGATTTAATTGTGTGTCCTGGTGAATTGAATGACCGATTCATTATATAAAGAAGCTGTATTGCAAAATTAAAAACTATCATAGCTTCTTATTAATTATTAATAATTATAAAAATTACTATGGCTTCAACATTAATTTTTATTGTTTCCATTAAACTTTATTTAACAATGGTGAATCACTTCTCCTTAGATGACCTGGCAACACAGAGAGTGAGATGAAATATATCAGTGCTTAACACAGTGTCAAACATTTAGCAAGCAGACAAGAAAATGATAATCTTCATTTAATCACAGGGACATTGTAAGTTTTCCCAAAAGACAAAATAATTTGAAAAAAACTTAGTTTTCCCAAAAGAAGAATAAAGAAGGCTAGCCTAGTGGCTATTCTGATTATCTAGGAATCACAGTATCCATGAAGTTCAGGTTGAACCGTTTGCATTGGTGTTTTTGGTTGGCTTTGCCCTTCCCTGAATGAATAATATTAGCAGCCAATACTCCAGCTATTATTATATATATTAATGCTAGTAGTAAGAATGGTAGGGCTGATCACAGTTATAGTTGGCAACAGTTATTTATGCTTGTCCAAAATCCCAGCTGCCTGCTTTTGGTTACAGATTTTCCTTTGGATAACTACTCCTTCCCATTGTATCTCGTCTTGTTTGAGAAGTCAGAGTGTATGCCTCCCTCTGGAGAGTGATACAAAGATGATACCTGGTGGAACTGGTTTGTTCTGATAGCAGCACCTTGACGATAACATTAATTCCTATCTGGGGAACTTTTGTTCCTTGGAGAAGCTTGGCCATTCAACTTGCTCTCTATTCCGTCAGCTATCAAAGATCTACCCAATAAACTTTATTTTTTCATAAGTTAACTAGAAGTGATTTGCTTTGCTTAGTAGTCAAAGCACACTAAATAATAATACTTGGGAAGTAACATTAGAGTATCTGCGATTGTCATGGTTGTCATTTTCAATGTCACAGTTGTACTATCATTTATTTCCTATTTATTTTGTTCTTGGGGTATTGTAGACATTCTTTAATTGAATCCTCCTAATGATCCATCCTATGAGGTACCAAACACATACTATTATTGCCCTGTTTTGCTGATGAGAAAACTATGGCTCGGAGAGATTAACTAATTTGCCTGTGGCTAGTTAATGATGGAGCCAAGATTTGAACATAGCATCTCTAACTGTGGTACTTACACTCCTGGTCACTTAAGAGCTTGTCAGCTAAATGGATTGATGGGATGAGCCTGGCAACATGCTAACCCCTTTACATCCATTGCCTTGAGCTCAGATTCTACCCATACAGATGAGGGAGGAAGCACGCTCAGGTTTGTTAAATACTTTATGCAAGGTCACTCAGTGACTAACATTCTCAGCAGAGCCATACAGCTGAAAAAGGTCTGAGTCTGTCAGGAGAGGGATGAAGAAAACAAAAGGCTCTGGTCTGCCTAGACTTAACCTCACTCACTTTATAGAACAAAAGAATCTTTAAAAGATGTGGAGAATCAGGCTTCCTTTGGAAGGTTCCCAGGAGGCTTCAGCAGAAAAGGAAAACTTCATTGTACTAAGATAACTTTGAAACCCTCAGATCTAGGCTTATCCTTTTCCTTTTTCTTCTTTTTTTGAGAATTCCAGGCATGATTAGATCATGCTCTGCACTTGAGTTGGCCAAGGGCTCTTGGTGACCTTACAAGAACATCTTAAAAGGATCAATCTATTTGTTTTACACTGAGATAATGGAAAATAAAGCTACCCCTGCTCCTCTGCAGAAGACCTGGCTTGCCAAGCTGGTTTTCATAACATACTTTTACAGTTGATTTATCTTCCCTGAAAAGTGAGACTTAAAGATTAAAAAAATGAAGAAGCACTTGTAGTGCTTGTGCCAGAAACAACAATGAAGGCCAAGAGTGTCATTGTAGACCCCGTTATGAGACTAGGCAGCAGATGTCTTTCCAGACATGGGAACAAAGACCCCAAATTCCAGTGAGTTTGGAGAAACTCCCCGAGCATATTTTTTAGGGCTTTGTTAAGAAATGGATGATTAGAAGGCACATCTGTGGCTGCTGTTTGGCCTTCACCATCACTACTGAGTTCCACCATCATGGGTCCCAATCTCCAAATTCCTGGGTCAAATGGGGGTTAAAATTGGGACTTTGTACCCATGAGGTAGATAGGGTCATTTTGAGAGGAGTTGCTAGAGGATGCTAATGGAGTGGTATGAAAAGTAACAAAGGAAATTTCAGAAGAGCATGTGATTTTTGCCTGTTTGTGGAAGTTATTTTTATGTGGAAACAATTTTTCTCCCAACTTTAGAACCATTGAAGGAAGCATTTCTCATTGATTTAATGTATCTGTGCATCATATTCTCTCCTATAAAATGGGAGTGAGCTAGTAGTGTCTAACTCAGGTAGGTGGAAGAATACATGAGATAATGCATCCACCATGTCTGGCATAGGCCAATAAATGGTAGGTTCTTATTTTCATTACCCAACTCCTAGATGCTTCTATGCTGAGTAACTCTAGGTCTCCATCTTTGCCCATTGGTCTGTCTTCAGGGTTTAAGTTTATCTCTAAATCATTTCCTGGACTAGCATTTTATTACCTGAGTCTGTGCCTCTCATAGGTAAAGAAACTGAAGCTCAGAGAAGTTAAGTGAATTGTTCAAATTCACACAGTTAACAAATTTAATTTGGTTGCTACACTTATGTATTAGTTAGCTATTGCTGCATAACAAACTACCCTAAAATATAGCATCTTTTTTTTTTCGGTACCGGGGATCGAAATTGGGACCTTGTGCTTGCAAGGCAGGCACAGCTCCACTGAGCTAAATTCCCGGCCCCTAAAGTATAGCATCTTGGCCAGGTGTAATAGCACACACCTATGATCCCATTTAATTGTGAGGCAGAGCAGGAGGATTGCAAGTCCAAGTCCTGTGTGAGCAACTTAGTGAGATCTTGTTTCAAAATAAAAATAAATAAACAATAAATAAATAAATAAATAAAGGGCTGGGGGTATGACTCAATAGTAGAGCACCCCTGAGTTTAATCATTCCTAGTACCACATATGTACATACACACACACACACACACACACACACACACGGTGGCAACAAATATGTAGTATTTCACATGGATTTTGAGGCTCAGGGATCTAGGAGTGGCTTTTTGTTCAGCATCTCTTATGAGTTTAGAGTTAAGTTGTTGGGTAGAGCTGTTGTTTCTGAAGACTTGAAAGGGGCTTCACAATCCATTTCCAAGATGGTTCGGAAAGGCACCAGAACATGCCTCCCTGAACAGTCCACTTCGGCAGAAGAATTATTTTGAGCCAAAAGCAACGGGAGCAGAAGCAGAGAGATATAAGAAGAACCTAAGAGAGATACAAGAAGAACCTGCCTAAAAGTAGAACATGAATTTGCAAAAGTGTCCCCTATTTCCTGTCTACCAAGGAAAGACAGAAGTTTACCAGCAGAGACAACCCTAGACTGTTCATCAGCCAGAGGAATCTCCATAGCAAACATTACTGACTAGCGCTTATCTCCCATTAGCTCTGCCATATATTAAGCATCCCACAATTTGCTGCCCCTTGGGAGCTCACAGTCCTTCCCCTTTGCCTTGCCATTTCTCTACAGTGTACTGTTGTTTTGAGATGTATGGGCCCCAACTTCTCACCACTCCTTTGAGTTGCTCTTCACTGGGAGCTCCCATGTGGATGCCCCATGCACATATTACTAAACTTCAGTTTTGTTCTTGTTCATCTGTCTTTTTGCTACTCTTAATTTGCAAGGCTCCAGCCAGGGAATCTTTTCTCACAGCTGCTGTCAGGTGGCTTCAGTTCTTGGCCACATGACTGTCTCCACAGGGTTGCTCAGAACATGAGGTCCCTCAGCATGCATGACTCCAGAGGGGTCCCAGATGGAGGTGGCACTGCCTTTCAAAGCCTAACTTCAGAAGTGTTGTGCTGTCATCCCCTGCCCCCCTGTCTCTGGTCACACAGACCAGCCCTGAACACTGAGAGGGAACCATGCAAATTTGTGCCTGGCAGGGGTGGAGATCATGGGACACCATCTTGAGGCAGGTGACCACACCTTCTTATGTTAAAGACAGAGCCCTTCACCTGCTCAGACACCTGCTTACCTCATCAGCCTCCACCCAGAAAGTACTCCCTGTTGATCATAGCTCCAGTTTACTTCTATCTGTTTTCAGTTCCTTGCATATACCATGTTCCTTTCAAGCATTCCTTCCATTGATAGCTAAAGTATCATCCATTGTCTCATCAATTCCTCTTCACCCCATGAGGTGTAGCTCTGGTAACACTTCCTCCAGGAGGCCTTCTTGATCCCCTAAACTGAGTTGGCTTCTGGTTGCATGTGCAGTATTGGTAATTAAGTGGTCACCAATTGAAGGTATATTTCTCTTACAGGACTTGGTCTTTCCAAGTTGCCAGCAAGAAGCACCAATCAAAAAGGCAAGCTCAGATTCCAGGTCTCCTCAGATTTTTGGGTTCAGACTCTTAATAACCACTTTCTATTCCTTATTCCTAGAGGGAAGAAAATAGCTGTAACTGTGCCTTGTCCTTATACAAGACTCTTTTCATTTGTTCTAAAAACAGAATCATGTGGATTTTCCAGACTTATCATCCAGCCTATATTTTTGCTTCCAGCCACCCTACACTGAAAGCACTTTCTTTACAGTATATTATTTTATTTCTTCATCAATTTGATTGTTTGGACAGCAAGCACAGAGTTTTGAAAGACATCAGCAAAACTGTCACAGGTTTCCTTTGGTGATTAAGACCTGCTTCTAGGAAACATTGTGGGGAAGAGTTGGAGAAGAGAATTCTTATATTTACCTGGTATTGTGGTTTGGCATAAGAATGAGCTACTTGGGCTAAAACTCTTATTTAAGTCCTCTTATCTTTCATGCAATGTGTATATATATCCATATATAGATATAAATACTCACATATGCACATATTATTTTGATTTATTTGCTGTGATGATGTAAATTATAAGATCGTATTTATGTATGTATGGATGTACTATATATATGTTATGGGGCTTAGGAATGTCTTAGCTGAGCCTAAAATGGAACTCACATCTGTAGAAGTGGTGGGGACCATCAGGAGGTGGTTTTTAGGGAAGTGCCCCCACCCTTAGCTGGAAGGAACAAGGAGGTGGGAATGTGGAGGGGAACCTGAACTCAGCCTTGCATTGCATTTGAGTCCTGTACAAAGGAGGCTCTGAGGGGGCAGGAGAACTATTTGTAGCCTAGATTCTGTGATCCTTGAGGGTACAAGTGGGGCTTCTTGCTGGTGTGGATGACCCCATGTTGGGGCAAGGGATGATTTCCTCTTAGGACCACAGCTCCCTGTTGACATCTGAGGACCAGCAGCTGCAAAATAGGAGTAGGTAGCCCCTCACTCTGGACACTGGTGCCCTTTGTGTTGACACTGGTATGCCATCTGGGAGCATCAATTCTGAGCTCTTGGAGGATTTAGGTACAGGAAATGTAGGGGAGTTGGGTGGGAGAAGATAAAATATTAATGGCTTCCATGTGTTTACGGTGATTAATTGGTTGATGCACATCTGGGAGACACCTCCAGGAGACACCAGGAACCAAGAGACTGAGATCTCATGGGGTGCTGTTGTTCTCCAGGACCTGAGGAGAGAGAGTCATTGGTATGTGGGAATGGCTGTGACATGTGACTGGTTTCTGTACATAGATTTGAGAAATCTGAAAAGTCATGCTGTACAGAGCATAAGTCCACTGAGTTTAGAGGCTTAGAAGACTTTAAAGCTCAATGGTCCAACCCTTCACTTTCCACAAAGGAAATCAGAATCCAGAGAGAAAGGCTGGTTTTCCCACGGTAGGCAGCTGAGATGGAAATCTGAGTCCTGGCCTTGGTGATCTTAGTAGTCAAGGGAGTTTAGGAAACTTACAAGACATCCAAATATATGGTGAATGTTTAAATTTTAAAAAATAATTGCAATAAAAGACACATTGCTATTTATCCCCCCAAATACTTCCCCTCATTTTGCACATACTTATCTCATTGTTCTTGCACTTCCCAAAGCAGTTCTGGAAGTCTTCTTTCATGAATGTCTTTTAGGAGGTGTAATAAAAAATACATTGAATTAGCTTCTAAGTGCTATCCAGTAGAAAGCAGGGTCATAAAAACCGTATGGTATGTTCTCATCCACCTTATCCACGGGATCTGGAATTATGCAACTTCTGGCTCTTCTCTAAAGTTAAATGGCCACAAAAGGTAAGATTTTTGAATCAATTCAGAACACTGAGGCAGCCACATAGTGCAAGTAAAGACAATCACCAAAGAGGAGTTCCAGAACTGCTTCAGAAAGTGGCAAGAATGATGGGGCTAAGTATATTCAAAGCAAGGGGGAGTGTTTTGAGGGGGAATTAATGACAACGTGTCTTTTACTGTAATAAAAACTTTAAAGTGTAAATATTCACCCTATTTTTCAATCATATCCAATACATGTATCACTCACTGATAACTCCTTAAGACCACTGAGACCTGGAAGGTGGATTGATGCTACAGACAAGGAGAGTATCCATGCAGTGTGACTGGAAAGACAGAAGAAAGCCAGCCTACCTGAGATCCCTTCCCTGATGGCATATCCTGGACTCAGGAATTTTTTTCCATCAAAGTTTTCTTTTGGACTGAAACTGTATTTAACAAAGGTGCTTTGAATGGAGCAATTATCCATAGCAAAAACAACTCCTGAGGAACTGGGCTTCACACATAAGCCTGGGAAAGGGAAGGGTTGCAGATGAGACTGAAGTCTGCAGCACTAGCAGAAATGCCATTAACTTTGAGTGATGGAAGGGCCTAGGGGAGGCCCATAGGGTTGCCAAGAAAAGGGAGCAGATGCTAAAATGGGGAAGGAGTGGAAGTGGAGAATAATGGAATAATGGCCCACTTCCCAATGTACCCTGGAGGTCCCCAGTGTATTCTTTTGCCTCCTCCAGGCAGGTTTCTTGGTTTCAAATGGTCTGATGTGCATCAGTTGTAGGCTCAAAAATCCCCTTTCCCTATTTAAGTGATGTTCCAGTCTGACCTCACATTTAGGTTCTTGTGCCTTACTTCTCTGCAGTAAGGAGATGGCAAGAGATGAGAAGAGGGAGCCAAAGAGAAGGAAAAAGGGAACAAGGCATAAGGAAGGGAGAAAGGGGAGGAGGAGGAGGAGGAGGAGGAGGAGAGAGAAATATGTGAGGGAAAATGAGAAACAAACACATACACAGAAAGAGATGTGTAGAGAGATCCATAAAGAGAAGGAGCAGACAAGGGCAGTAAATTGCTTCCAGAGTGTAAGGAACCGAGTACACCCACTTTAAGACCTCTGGGGCCACTGTTTAACAGCATCCCGCCTCCTGGCTGCAAGTGAGCCTCACACCTGACTCCCAAGAGGGCTTCTTGCCTCTAGAAACCGGCATGATGAATGGGCCCCTCTGGGCTCCTGGCCAGACAGCCATCTCCCACCTACCACGTGAGCCTGACCCTGAGTTGCCCTCCTCTGCATGCATGGTCTAGCAGGTGGATTTGAATGTCTAATGATCACAGACACCTGTGTTTCCCTGAAGCACTTTCCATGATGATGGAAAACAGACCCAGGCTATACCCAAGAGAAAGGAGCCAGTGGAGGAAATATGAGAGACGGACTTGTTGGAGGCATGAAATCTCGCTGAAAGTGTGGACCCTGTTAGATTTCATTAAGTATTTACATTTCCCTGGCTGCCTTCCACTAGTTACCTGCCCAGAAACAGAATTGGAAACACAATCCTTAAATGAGATCACGTTTTCCAATGAAATACAATAAGGAAAAAAAAAAAAGAGTCCAGAGACAAATCACAGGTAAATAGGCCCATTCCACTGGAGAGACATTCTCGAGGAGCTTGGTGTCAATATCAGTGTGACTTATGGTTATCCTGAGGCACTGGGAGGCTCTCTATGGCGAAGAGAAAAAGTAGATTTGCAGAGCCCAAGGAGGCATGTGTGGATTTGGATTTATGAGGGACCCCTGTCGAATAATTTCCCCTGACCTCCAACTCCTTTGGAGAGCAGCATGCTTCTCCTGGTGACAATTCTGTTGCAGGTCATGGAAACTCAAGATTGAAAGTTTAAGCCCCATGGTCAAGCCAGTAGGGCAGAGGGAAGAGAGAAGACTGTTAGAAATCCTAAATTCCTCATGATGCAACATAACTCGAGCTCTAAGCCACTGAGCAAAGCAGTAACCCCTTCTTTCCCAGGAAGCATACCTTGAAACCCTCCTAGTTCAGCCAGGCTATGTCTCTGAATGCCAGCATTCTCTGTGGCTGCTTAAAGGAAAAAGGAGTTCCCTGCTAAAACTCTTCATGACTATCCTTGGGCTTCTACTGAAAGAATTTGCCTCTCCAAATTCTAAACTGTGACCTTAGAGGAAGTAACACCTGCTTCTTGAAGTCTTTACTCCTCAAGAGGTAGTCCATGGACCAGCACTATTGGCATCACTCAGGACCTTATTAGAAATGCAAACGATCTCTGCCCTAGCCCTGAGTCAGAATAGTGCCTTATCAGTGCTCAGCATTGGGCCTTGTCATTGGTAGGTTGGATATTCAGAGATAGCAGCTGTCAGATTGGCTTTGGCACACACACTGCATTGCTATGTGTAACCTCTATCTCTGTCTACATGGTCATGTTCATGGCAGGTATGGGGGCCTGATGACCAACACTGGCTAATGTCAATTGGCTGAGCTATTTTTCTCTACAGATGCTCCTTGACTTACGATGAGATTAATTTCTGACAACCCCATGACAAGTTGAAGATATTGTAAGTTGAAGGTGCATTTCATACCTCTAACTTATCAAACACCCCAGCTCAGTAACACAGTGCACTGTGGAGTGTGCTTGTTCACCTTCCTGGTTGTGGGGCTGACTGGAACTGCAGCTTACTGTTGCTGCCCAACATCGCATATTGTACTGCATATTACTGACTCTGGTAAAGATCTAAATTCATAAATGAAAGTATGGTTCATATTGAATGTGTAACACTTTCACAGCATCATAAAGACAAAAAAATCGCAGGTTGCACCATCATGATTTGGGGGCCATCTATACGTGGTTGTTCAGTACCTCCTTTAGGGTGGCTGCTTTCTTATCTAACCCTGTCACACTTTTTGGGTCACATTTGGTGGTATAGACCTATTTGTTTCTAGCCATCCAGTTAATCCATTCCAGGATCCTGAGCAGCCAGCCAGGCCCTCACCACTGCCCACGAGCCTATATATGTATTCTCCTCAAACTCCTTCTTGTTCCACCAAAATGCAGGTGACTAGGGTTACCACTCAAGATTCTACCCATGGGAAAGATTTTCCCTCAACACTTGAAAGTCCATTTATTTTAGAGCTAAAATGTTCCCCAATAGTCCCATGTGTTTGGATGGTGATTGGATGTTGGGGATGCATCCTCTGATGAGTTTGGTACCCAAATATGCTGTTTGGAAGTGAGGCCTGGTTGGAGATGGCCCATTGGAGGAGTGACCTTGAAGGATGTAATTTTGACTCCAGCTTCTCCTCCCTCATTCTGCTTTCTATCTGCCAAGGTTTGAGCAGCTTTTCTCTGCCATGCCTTTTTACTGGCCAGCCATAATTGGAACTACTACTTGTCTGTGTATGTGGCAGTCTACAGTCATTCTACGTTCTTCCAGAATGGTGAATTACACTGAGATAGAGAGATAGGAAAGAGATGGCCACCAGTGTATCATTTAGATCCATAAGGGTGGCAGCAGTCTCCACCATCCTCCTTGAGTGTGACAGTATTTTTCTTCACTATTTTGTGGAGGGGTCAGCTGTTTCGTAGGCTCTCACTCTGTACCTTCACCAAATGGGAGCTGCTTGGGAAGAACATGACCTTGGTTTAAATACAGGTGATAGGTTGTTTTTGCATAGACTTCAAAGAGTCCACATGTATCACAAATTAAGCAAAAGCTTGTGTGGGTGGTGGTTGGTTTGTTGGCGCATATCCTAAATTTGCCTCCGTGCATGGATGACAAGCAAATTTGTGAAATGTTTCACATTTAAAAAAAAATTTACCTGTGTGTATTTTTCAAGGGCACAGAGCTTCTTGTTGACTTTTCAAAGCATTCCTTGATGCTCAAAAGTGATGAAATTACATTGATAAGAACCTTGACCTTCTCGACATTTCTCCTGGCCCTTCTGATAGTCTCTCTTGTTTAAAGAGTTGTTCATATAAGAAACCTCTACACCCTGAGAGCCAAGTGGAGGAAGAAGTGAATGCTCAGGCTGAAGCACAAAAGAAGGAAGATGAGGCAGAGGTACAAAGACACTAGCTTGTGCACCCATGGAAGCCAAAGAAGCAGAAATAAGGAGTTCTGGAGGCTGAGGTTGCTGGTACAAGTTGTTGGACTGCATGCTGCTGTCTAGAATGTGTCTCAGTGGGTCAGACCTTCAGTGCCATCCAATAACCAAGACCACCTCAGAGAAACTCACCTTGTTCATAGCTGGAGCAGCCCCATTGGTCTTTGCCCAGACCTGTGGCATGTTGGACTAGTTCTGTTCTCAGTTGTGGCTGAGTGTAACACATGGATACTAAATCATCTCTCCTGCTCTGTTTCCTGAAGAATAAAAATAAAAAAGTTGTTTATACACTTGGCAGCTATTCTGGCCTTTTTTCTATTCCTCAAAAACACCAAGCTCATTCCTAGCTCAGGACCTTTGCATTACTGTCCCCTCTGCCTGGAATGGCCTCTCCTCAGATACTCCAGTGGGTGCCTTTCTCTATTTTAAAACCCAATTTTCAGTTTACATGTCACCTTATTGCAGAGATCTATCTTGATGGCACAAGCCACAGTAGTCAGTCACCTTCTAGCATATTCCCCTGTGCTCCAGGTTGTATCTGGATGTTTCCCAAAGGCCCATGTGTGGAAGGCTTGGCTGTCAGCATGTGGTGGTGTTGGGAAGTGGTGGAACCGATTCCTGTTCACCGTCTGCCTTACACTCCTGCCACAATGTACTGTGTAGCCACAGGCTCAAAGCAACAAGGTCAAACCACTGTGGACTGGAACCTCTAAAACCACAAGCCAAAATAAACCTTACATCCTTATACATTGATTAAGCTCAGGTATTTGTTGCAGTAACAGAAAGCTGACCTTCTTGTTTTATTTTTAGCATAGCATTTTTGCCACTTGGTCTTCTTTATCTATTATACGTCTTTGTCCTATAGTGTGTAAGCTCTATGAAAACAAGAATCATTTAGCATTTTCACCATTCTATCCCTACTGGTTGGAACAGTGCCTAATACATAGCAGATACTCAAGATGTTTTCTTAAGTGAGTTAATGCTTGTCTTCTGCACCAATTTGCAAAACATTTTCCTATGCATCCAGATTTTACACCTTCTCTCTAGTACTATAAAGTACAGATGTAATTATAAATAATCCAAACATACTAAAATTTCAGACAGTAATCTATGTACTGAGTTCCAAGATGAAAGATATTATTTTGCTTAAATAATTTCATATTTCTCTTTTCTTCTTTTATATTTTAGCTAAAATTTCATACCTGATATTTTGCTCTATTCTTTCATTTCCATAAGTGCTATCTTGAAGGTTGAGAATGCCATTTGTTTACATGTTTGAGTAGTTCAAGATATGTATGTTTGTATTCATAAATAATATATGCCTTTTATGTTTTTAGACTTTAGATAAGAGCTTGAATGCTGTATGTATTTTTGGTACTTTAGTCCTGCATATTTAATATTGTTGAGCCATGGAATTAAACTCCTTGGAACTGTCCTACCTGTGGACTTATTGTTATATGACATAATAAAATACCCTATTATTCAAGCCATATGAATTGGATTTGTCTTGTACAGCTAGAAAGCTCCTATGATAGTCTCATTCTATTAACATTTTTCATTGTTGAGTCCTTATGCCATCGCTAAGCTAACAGTTTTTATTTGGCTGCAGATCTGCTGGGGTAGAGACAATTTTAATTTCTCCACTAAATCCATATTTCTCAGTTCATAACCTTTTGTATTTGCAATTTGTTGCTGGGTGCTACAGTCTGGACACTTGTGCCCCCCTCCCCAAATTCATACGTTGGAACGTGATCCTCAGTGTGAGGGTTTAGAGATGGGGCCTTTGAGAGCTGATGAGGTCATGAGGGTAGAGCCCTCATGAAAAGGATTTGTGTCCTTATAAGGAGCTGTGTTAGTCTGTTTGGACTGATACATTAAAAATATCATAGACTGCAATTTATAAACAGTAGAAATTGATTGCTTACAGTCCTGAAGGCTGGGAAATCCAAGGTCAAGGTGCCAGAAGATTCAGTGCCTCTGGTGGCTCATTTTCTGTCTCACATGTGATACCTTTTTGCTGAGGATCCATATGCTAGAAGGAATAAACAAGCTCCTTCAGGCCTCTTTTGTAAAGGCACCAATACCATTTGTGAAGGCTCTGCTCTCATGACCTAATGGCTTCATAAGGGCCCCAGCTCTTAGTAGCACCCCACTGGCATTAGGTTTCAATATTTGAATTTGGGAGGGACAAGAAAATCTTTAATCCATAAGTGGAGCTGAAGACAGCAGAGTTCTTTCCTTGCAGCACGCAAGGAAATAGCCAGAAGGCACCATCTATAAATCAGAAAATAAGTGTTAGTAACTTTCCTCTTGCAGGAACAAAACCTGAACTTAAAGCAGGAGAAGTTTATTTTGGTTCATGGTTTTCAGAGCATTCTGTCCATGGTTGGCTGGGTCCAAGGCGGAAATGGCATGGTGGAAGGGCCTGGAAGAAGAGAGGTGCTCACATCATGACATCCGGGAAGCAGAAAGAGAAGGGAGGAAGTGGGAGCAAGAATACACCCTTCCAGGTCAAATTCCTAGTGATCTACTTCCAACAAGATGCTATTTCCTTGTAGCACATTCATATATGCTATACAGTCATACTCATGTTCATGAACAATTTGCTTCTAGCACAGAGTGTTCAGTAAAAGTTTGCCTCTGTTTGCAAACTCCACATCGAGTGACAAACATGACCACAGCCATCTCCCCCACACAAACACGCATGCAGTCATCTTCCCCAGAAATGTGGGATGAATTAAGTTTGTGAACCAAGGCTCCACTGTAAATTCACCAGTGGATTGATCCATCAATAAGCAACACATCTGCAAGATTCAATCACCTTCTAAAAGCTATACTTCTGAATAATGAGAAATTTGGGAGGCACATTCTAGATCTAAATGGTAACAACCCTTACCAGACTACAGCCTGATCTCTGACTTCCAAACCTCCAGAACTAATGAGATATAATTTTTGTTGCTTATAAGCCACCCAGTTTATGGCATTTTGTTATAGCAGCCCAAATGGACTAAGTCACTGTATAACTTATCAGTTAAAGCAAGAAAATTGATGATTTCACCAAGTTTCTGGGGGTTAGGAATCTGGGAGCAGCTTTAGCTCTGGGTGGGGGTCTCTCCTGAGGTTGCAGTCATGTTACTGGATCAGGTCACTGTTCATTTCTGTGACTGTTTAGGACACTTTAGTTCCGCCAGCACAGCACATGTACTAGACAACATCCATGTGGCCATCAGGCTGAAGGCATCTGTGACTGCTCCCTTGCTGTCATCCCCTACATACCCATCCTTACCTCTTCATGACTTCCAGGGTCAAACGACTTCTCTCCACCCTCTTGAATGTGGTGTGCAGTGACAGCTGAGACTGAAGCACAAATTATTTCTCATTGTCCTTAGAATAAAATTCATTGCTTCATCTCTAGACTGCTTATTACATAGTCCATTCTCATCCTGTGTTCTCTACTCTCGTTCTTCAATTTTCCATTAGGTCTGAAGTTCAATGTCACTTCCTTTTGACACTCAGAAAAGACTGGGGCCTCCTAGAGCCAGTTTCCAGAACACTCTGTCATCTCTTGGGTTACTCATCTCATTTGCTGAATGTTTAATTCCTGTCTGGTCTGTAAGTTTGCAAAGTGAGGGACCACACAGGTTTTATTCACAGCCATACTTTCCGGCCCCTAAATAACATGCATAGTAGACATGCAATCAATTGTGTTGAATAAGTGCATAAATGATGTTCACCTAGCAACTATTTGTTTTATGTCCTTTACTTCTATAAAAGAAGACAAGTTGCTTTATAAAAAAAGTTCTTACCTTAGTGAACAATGTGGAAGATAGAACCAGATATTCAGTGTTAGGACCCTCCAGGAGATTTTCTAGATCCTGGGCAGGATCCAATTAGAACATGCCTCTCAATTTTGCCCTTCAGCAGATGCATACTGTCTCCAGCTTTCCAAAACTGGAAGCAATACATTTCTCAGATGTGTTTGATTCAAACAAATATGGCAACTTAAATTACAGCCTTGAGGAAATCTGTACCTACTTCATTTAATTTTGGTTAACTACTTGAAAGCAGGATTTTTTTTTGAAAACTCCATAATGAGATGTTGATAGTAATAGTCCACATTGATTGAACTCCCATTGGGTATACCAGCCTCATTTTAATCTCACTGAAATCATAGCAGAGCTACTACCTCCTTTCCCCCCTCATTTTACAGACAAAGAAATTGAGGTTTAAAAGTTCAGAGAATGCCCAAGTTCACACATCCAGTAGGCTGTGGAGTTTTACTCCATCCTAGGTCTATAGTCCACAGTCCCTTTTTTGTGTACCATATCCACCCCCAAACTATTGGATTCTCTTGGAGTTACACTATTTTTGGCTTCCTTCCCTATGCAAATGGCTCAACTGCTTTTTAAACATGTTGTATATTATTTATACAAAAGAAAGGGTTTCATTTTGGCATATTCATACATGCACATAACACACTTTAATCATTTACCCTCCATTACACTTCCCTTGGCCTTCCCTCCCCTCCCCTGACTCCCTTCCTCTTCTATAAAAGTTTCCAATCTATTTTCAGGTCATCATGCTCTCTTTTTTCCCTAGATTCCACATATGAGAGAAAACCTATGGTATTTATCTTTCAGATTCTGGCTTAATGTGGTGATCTCTTGTTCCACCCATTTTCCTACAAATGACATGATTTTGTTCTTCTTTATGTCTAAGTAATATTCCACTATGGATATATACCACATTTTCTTTATCCATTGATCAGTTGATGAGCACCTAGACCGTTTCTGTAACTTAGCTATTGTGAGTGGTACTGCAATAAATAGGTATCTTTACAGTATGCTGACTTTAATTCTTTTGAGAATATACTAAAGAGTTGTATAGCTGGATCAAATGGTAGTTTTAATTTTACTTTTCTGAGGCACCTCCATTCTGTTTTCCCTAGTGGCTGTACTAATTACATTCCCACAACAGTGTCTAAGGGCTCTTTTCCCCCTGCATCCTTGACAACTCAGTGCTTTTAACTCTTGGGCTAGCCATTTGGACTGTAGACAGGCTTTTCACCAGTTTTCTTTGTAAAGCTGTTTAGGTCAGTTGCATAGCAGATAACTTTTTTCCCTTTAAACTGAAGTTTCTGTTTACACAAGTGGAATTCAAGATTTCCTCCAGTGGCTCAAGAGCCCTTTAACTTTGAAGCAGTGAAGCTTGCCTGCTTTCAGAAATTTGCATGAAGAATGACATCCAGTCAGAAGAATGTGACCAGAACCACAGACACACCTACCCCCTTGCCTGGCTCCCAGTGGGAAGGGAATGGAGCTCAGCCAGATCTGGAGGCAGAACGTGGCTGCTTGTTGTGTAGGTAAACAGTCAGGATTTATTAGGCTGGAGATGTCCACGGTGGGACCTGCTATATTAGGCTCTGCTGGAAAGGCCTTTTGTCTTTTCTACAGTGCTATCTTTCTCTACCTCAGGCCCTTCTTAACTTGAACTTTGTGTTTCATGCAGCTGATGAAACAAACTTGATCACCAGAAATCTAGGTTGCCTTTCTCGGTTAGCAGACTCTCCACTCAGCCCTCTCCCCTCGGGCTGCTGTTCACAGGCTGATCTGCAGAAGTTGCAGCATGGAGATTGAGGATGTGTTGGCGTTCACAAAGGCCACTTTCTCTACTGTTGCTCTCCATGTGCCCACACACAGCCAACTTCCCTGGTGGCATTAAAAAAAGATGGGCTTGTTAGAGAGCCCCATCCTTAGATGTGAAAATTAGTGGGTATTATGACTTGTAATGAACTGGGTGGCCTGGACTCCATTTACTGCAGCGAACTGCTAACTTCTGTGTGCTGGTCGTAGGTAGATAATTTTAATTCCAGGTATTGTTTCCTACTTCCAAACTTGTAACTTTGCCTTTTCATCCATAGCCTTTCTTGTGACTTAGTCCTCCTTGGGGTATTTGTAGGAGGTAAGGGTAGGAGGGAGAGATAAGCTTATTATATATTTTAGGCAGTGTTCTGAGCTCTGTACTCCAACCCTATGGAAGCAGGCCTCACCATTCTTTCCACTTAACAGATGAGGAAACTGAGGCCATCAGGGAGGAACTGACATGCCCAGGTACACATAGATAGGAAGGGGTCATCTGGATTCAATACTAGGCAGCATGATCCAAGCAAGTCAGGAATACTTTAAAGAAAAATACCTACTGTGCAATTTATAGCCTAGACACAGCAATTATATTTACCGGTATACACAAAATTACTTTCCCTAACCCCAAGAAATATTTGGTCAATTTTCAAATTTCATCTTCTGAAGATCAGTGATTCTAAAGGAAGCTAGGAGTTTGCAGGTGAGACTTTACATGGGGGCCATACCTCCCTCTTACTCCAGAAACTGGGGGCAAAATTTTGCATGCAATTTTGAGAGGTGCAAGCCCCTCTAAAACTTCCCTTTCAATAGACTCCATGAAACCCCCAGATTGAGATGACTTGACTTAGAACAGCACTAAACTGTGAAAATAGGAGAAACTGAGTTTTCTTCCTCTCGCCATGGACTGGGATCCTGCCTTTCTCTGGCTGTGGGGCAAGCCTCCTGGCTCTGGGAGGATTTCCCCCTAGTACTGGCCTGGAATGATCACCCACTTCTAACTTTGTTTTTTTTTTCCCATTAAGTTTATTGATACATTTTAGGTATACAATACAGTTACATTCATCATTGGGATTTTGTACCTTTACATGATGTATCTTGGTTCTTATTTTTTCCCCATTCCCCTGTAACTTTGGTTTTTAATCTGACAGTACAAACTGGGATGACGCATGACCCAAAGGCCCCAGTTCTACATTATACCTGTGTCTGTTTTGCTTTGCCATTTCCGGCTGCCTGGTCTTAGCTGGGCATAGTGGTGCATGTCTGTAATCTCATCATTTTGGGAGGCTGAGGCAGGAGGCTTGTGTGGTTTTGAGCAAGTCATTGCATCTCTTGAGTCTTTATTTTTGCATATTGTATATTGTGGCTACAATGATTAAATGTAATTCTGTACAGGCAGAATTGCGTCTCTAATGGTTGAATACAATTTTATACAGGTAGCACTTTAAGAAGCTGTATAGTCAAACAGCTATGGCTACAACCTTTGGACTCAGGAGTCCTGTGTTCGAACCCTGCTCCACCCTTACTGTGTGACTGTGTGTTATTGAACTCTCAGTGGCTCAATTTCCCTGCAAGTCAGAGGGAGAGGATAGGTTTGTGGAAGGAATAAAGGAGATCGGGGACCTGATACAGAAAAGCTGACCCCACAGTCCCTATCTTTAAGGGATCCTCCCCCTCCCTCCAAGGTGTCCCTTGCAGTAGCTGTACCTACCTCGAACTCCCTCGGAGCCCAGCGCCCTGTGCGCAGGGGTGATTTCTGCTGCTGAGTTCACTGTCATGGACATCACCCCAAGGACACTGTTTCCAAACTGTGATCACCTGGAGCAAAGGGAAGGAAAAAGAGCTCAGGGTCGGGAGAGGGAGACATGGGTTCCCTTGGGTTCCTCCCTGGGTGCCACCCACCTCTGCTCCCATCCCTGGCCCTCTGGCCGGCCGCACCGCACTCTCCGCCCGGTCCGGTCTCTGCCCAGCGCAGGGGGACCTGCGCCGGCCTCCCGGACCCCGCAAGGGTTAAGGAGAGCAGAGGTTGGGGCTGACGTTGCTCTGGCTGAAGGTGGTTCCCCTCCAAGGAGGATGCGAGCGCCTGGCGAGGAGCTGAAACCCGAGCTCCCACTCGGCCGGCCGGGCTTGGGGAGGTCCCTGTAAGGGCCGCCTGCCCGCCCGCGGACTCCCGCGACGCTCCTCTCGCGCCTCGCCTCGGTCACTGCTCACTCGGGCACCACCGCGGGAGAGATGGAGCTGGACCGCTGGGCGCAGCTGGGGCTAGTGTTCCTGCAGCTCCTTCTCATCTCGTCCTGGCCGAGAGGTACCCTGCGTGGGGCCGGGACGCTGCGGGACGGGGCATTGTCCTCCTGGGGGCCTCTGGGTTGCGAGACCGGAGGCTCAAGGCTCAAGGCGGGTGGGGTGCTTTTCCCAGCGGCAACCTTGGGGCTTGGTTGGTGGCGCGGAAGAAGGGGACACGGTTGATTTTGTCATCTCTACGTGTGGGACTGAACTGTCTCGGGAAGTGGGCGGTGGGGAGAGCACCAGGTTTATCTGCTTTTTTTAGTTTATCTGTGTAAAGAGCATCAGTTACCTTGGGGAACATGGGGTTTTGATAACTGATAACTTTGCAAGAACAAAGTTTCTCCTGGAAAGAGCTCCCAAGGGGGTGAGCAGAGGAGAGGACTGAAGAGCAGGGCTCACTTGGGCTTGATTGTGTCTAACAGGATATCTGGACAGACTCTGACACAGACTTAAGATCTTTCCTGCCTGATAAAAATGAGAAAGAAGAAAAAAGCTGGGGTTAAAAGTCCAAGTTGTTTCTGGGGATGTGTAGTTCGTTTCAAAAAAGCTCTGGTTTGGTTTTTCAAACGTGCCATTTTCCTGAGCCACAATTCCCAGGTCAGCGGGGTTCCCCGGGGGAAAGAGGCTGGGACGGGCCACAGAGCTCCTGGGGCTCTTGAGCCAGCAAGGAGCGGAAGCCAGGGAACGGCAGCTCTGGGAATGGCTCACTGGCTGGCAGGGAAGCAGGGATATCTTAGGAACATCTGGTCTGTCCTCATATGGGTTGAGGGGTGAGGTGTTCGATGTCAGGTGAGACCTCATGAGGCACAGGCAGGCTGAGGTGCACAGGTCTGACAGAGCAGTGAGCTTTTGCTGTGCTGGCCGCCTGTCCCCAGTGCTCTACCTGAGAGCTGGATACTCCGCCTCTGCAGGTGGCTGGCAGGTGCCTGAGAAAGAAAAATGGTAAGTGGCATAATGGGGACACTAAATGCGATTGGCCCTCTGGTGGGGAGCTCAGCCTGAGGCACAGGCCTTCATCACCCCACAAAGCCGAGACACATGACCATGCTCCTCACCCACTCACAGTTTGGCTAATATTTTCTATCCACCTGGAGCCTTCCTGCCCCTGATAAATCTTCCTTAGCGATTTACCACCAAGATAGTGAGAGTGTTTCGATTGAATTTTCCTTCCATGGCAGCTGGAGCTGCCCAAAGACAATAAAGAAGCTTCATCCTGTCCAGGGGGACTGATAATTCATAAGCCTAAATACTTGCCCGTAAAATTGAAGCATTAGGACTCCTCCCTACTCCATCTCTGCCTTTCAGAACCAAACCTCCAGGGTGTGGTAGCCTTAGAGAAACTCCAGAGGACTCTGGTTCTTCTTAGAGTCCCAGTGGATCAGATTCCTTATGGCTGCATCAGTCCTGTTCCATTTTTATAATGTGGCAAGTGAGATAGCTCAAGCCTGTAAAAGTTAGAAAAACAAAGCTCAGTTGTCCAGGGTCCGAAAAACCCATTTATTGTGGACCTGAGAATCTCTTTTACCCTTTACTGGGGAAAAGCTGGAGGGCGGGTATGTTGTTTATTGTGGGCCAAGCTGCTGCCTGAAGCAGAGAGCAGCTTCATGTGTTTAGCAAGGGTATTGCAGTTGTTAAGCATTCAGTCAGAGGAAAGATGTTGGGGTGGTGGTGGTGAGAAAGGAAAATATTTCTTCATGTAGGGAAGAGTACACTCCCTGTTGAAATTCTGAATCTGGTCCCATGAAGAAAAGCTTGGAAGCATATTTCCTCTAATTACTTTTCTAAAAAGAGTATCTGATGAAATGTAAACATTCCCTGGGATGGTCTGGGGGTTGTTGTTGCTCATGGGCATGTGATACATGTCGGAGGCTGAGAATCCAAATCCTGGGCCAAGTGATAAACCTAACATAAACAGCATGTGAGGGGGAAACCCAACTCCACTGACTTCACCAAATAGCAGTAGCTCTGCCAGCATGACTCTGCCTAAGAGGAAAACCTCATTTAAAATATGGGACTCCTGGGAAATGAAACCATAATATGGATAACTGCACAAGTGTCGCTTCAACAGACATCAGCTTGTGGGGAATGAACACAAATACAACAGGGGAAAATAATTTGAAGCACAGATATTCAGTGGGCTGGAGCAGTCAGCTGAGAAAGAGAATGTGGAAAGCAAGCAAAGGAAGAGGCATGGCCACAAAAATTAGATATTGGTGTATAATGGGTTGTGCTAGCACATTCCAAGGAGAGAGCTATGGAAGTTGGGCCTTCTTGGCAGGGATGGATGTTTGTAGGGACCCTGAAGAAGGTGTCTCCCTACCAGATACTATGAGAACTTCTGGCACCCTAATAGAAAAATAATTTCATAGCGGGATCATGGACTTTTGGAGCTAAAATTGACTTTAGTGATCATTTTAGTTTGAGTCCTCAGTTTTAGAGGACAAGGAGATTAAACACCTCAGACCACATGAATAAGGTATGTGCTTTTATTGTCCTTCTTTTGTAGGTAAGTTTCAGTGATCTATTGCCAGATCAAGGATACATGGGCACAGTTGTTAAAAATATTAAGCATAGAATTATTATTTGATCTAGGCATTCCACTTCTGAGTAAATACACAAGAGAATCGAAAACATAGACTAGAGTAGATATTTGTATACTGGTGTTTGTAGCAGCATTACTCCCCAAGTCAACCCAATGTCCATTGGTGGATAAACAAAAGGTGCTATATATGTACAATGGGATATCATCTACCTTTAAAAATGAAGACAATTCTGATGCATGCTACAACATGAATGAACTCTGAGACTAATACGCCAAGTGAAAGTAGTCAGACACAAAGAGACCAACCTTGTGTGACTCCATTAATATAAAGTACCTAGAAGAGTCAAATTCATGAGAAAAGAAAGAATGGTGGTTGACAGGGGGAATGGGAAGTTATTGTTTAATGAGTGCAGAGTTTCAATTTGAAATGATAAAAAAGTTGTTGAGATGGGTGTTCACAACAACGTGACCTGTGCACTTAAACATAGTTAAAATGTAATTTTATGTCACTTATATTTTGCCACAATAAAAAATAAAGGCTATTCAGGCAGAGGTTAGTGGGCACTGTGGTGAATCCTGGCTGTCGCATATCTGAATCCAAGTTTACCCATTGCCTGGCTGACTCACACTCACACTTCGAGCATATGGAATGATGGTGCTGGGGCACTTCTAGGCTCGTCAAGTTTCAGGACAAACACGTATCAGGGGAGAAAGCCCTTGCTAGCTCCTGTTTTGGGGTCTCTGTTGTTTGTCTTGGCTGGCTCTGGCAAAGTGGGAGCCTGCAGAGTTGAGGGTCTTAAAGTGGCAGCTTTCAGGCCACGTGGTCTGCAGAAGAATTTAGTAAGATGTTTGAATTTGAATGTTGTGAGGCAGGCTGGATTTGCTGCATGGTCTGACACCTCACCTTCTCAGTCCACATATTTGATACCTCTTAATCTTAACCATTATTGGAGGTTTTACTCTCTATTCCTGTGAGGGATGCAGTAGAAGAGAGGGAGAGAGAAGATGGAAGGCTGGATGCTGAACGGGGAGAAGTTCAAGTGAATAAAACTGCTAAGAATCGATGGGCTAACAGGACTTTTATAAGCATGTGCCATATGAGACTTTCATAAGTCTTGAATAGATTGTAATTTGTTTCATGAGACATAACCTCACATTTCACTGTGACTTCCTACTCTTTGGTACATTTTATTCTTACGCATGACTTTGAGCATGAACTTCTGGTAGAAACTGGGGACAAAACTGGGTGCTATGTCTGGCTCAACAAACTGTGAGCCAAGCACTTTTGGATATGGAATCCAAGCAGAGGTGACTTAAAGCATTCAAGTCCCTTCTGGGAATACCCAGAAGTCTCAGGAGGACTTTGGAATGCACTGGCATGGATTATGGGTTAGACTTGGCCTTGCCTACCTCTGGGTTATACTGCTGAGATAGAACTGCCCAAGACAATAGAGTCTGTGGAGAGTGAATGATTGGATTTAAACCAGAAAATTATTTCCATCTGCCTCACTGATGCAAGAAGAAAGTTCTTTACCTGGCTCCCCTGAGACCAGCTCTAGAAGCTGCCACTGATTCTGGCTCTGTGAAAATTGGGCAAAGTGTCATTTTCATGATAAATTAGAGGAGACTGTGCCCTCACTCTGTAGATATTTGAAAATCCCTCCCCTCGTATATTTTTAAAACTTTTTTATTAGTACCTGTTTGTAGTACATAATAATTAGATTCATTGTGGGAATTAGTACATGTACATAACACATCTCAATTCTTTTTTTCTCCTTCTCCTCACCCCCTTTAAATTTTTTTTTGCCAATATCAGATTCATTCATTCTTTCATTCACTTTATAAATTACCATACATATGGATTAACAGCCAGACTAACAGGCAAAAAAACATAGAAGGAGGACAAAAATTCAGTGTTTATTCTTCTCAGTTCCTGGATCCCAGACACAGGACCCAGACACCAGCTGGAGCATTGAAAGCTACCAGATCAGTGGCAGAAAGTTTGTCAGATTCCAAACCTGGTTTGTGTTTAAGGAATTCTGTTTGTCAGGTAACACAACATCTAGGACAAAGCTGTCCATTTTCATTGGAGATAAAAATGTAAAAAATACAGGACAAACCAGGCTTTATACTTGTGAACAAAGCCATTCAAGGAAGGCAGAGAAGTAGAGCTAGTTGGAGATGTTCCATTCTCTAGTTAATGTCACTTTCTGTCCCCACACCGAACTCCACTCTTTATTTTTCTAGGTTGCAGGTACCTGTGAGACAGACTCAGAGTCAATATGAGTCGAGAGTGGAGTAGGTACAGGAGGCTCATCAATTCTTCACCCCTGATGACAGAAATATCGAGGGCAGAGGCATCTTTGAATGGGCTTCTATCCTATCATATTTAAGGGACCTAATCCCAAGTTTGACTCCCATGTAATTGATTGAGGTTGTGATAAACGGCAGGTGCTCTTATATGCTTTCTGTGTGCT